AGAACACCCCTCTGTTGTAGGTTGCTGACTCGCATGTGAATTTTTATTGGAAGCTAGTCAGCAATTTATTTTCTTATAAAAAGCAGATCTGTTTATATCACCAAATCTATTAAGAAAAAGGGGGACATTAAACTAGAGGTATAACCTCTCTTGATAAGCAATGGTAGGACTATCTTTAACAGCTCACTTTGAATATTAGATGTGAAATCCACTTCAGTCATTTGGAAGCTGGTTCTTTTCCGGTCTTGGATGAGCATCAAAGCAGTTCCTCTGTTTTATCAATAAATGGCGACTCATGCTTTTCATAGGCTTCCATAGTGCCCTTCTAACTGTAAAGAAAGAAGGAAGTACTGTCAGATTTCTCCAAAATGTTTTCCTAATGATCTTCAGCTAGATGAAAGGTCGCTTTTCTCTGAGGCAAACTAAGCCTTCTCTCTATACAATAATTTGCTCTCTACAATCTATGAAACTTGTTTTATCTCACTAAAGACCACAAATTATTCTTCAATTTATATAGACTTCTATTTAATAGAATTTGGCTCAAATATTTTTTGTTTTCTGTGTGTGGAAATAGAAGACATTTGACAAATATGTATCTTGATATGCAGTCTATTCGGTTTACATGTAAAAGTCCATATTCTCATGCCAAGAGAATGCATCATCTTAATTCACATTTGCTATAGGTGGGGTATAGAAAAGTGCAGAAATGCCTTAAGGGCACAAGAATTCATCCTGCAGAACTTCTAAGCTCTGCAAGACAGTGCTGTATAAAAGCTGTGAAAGTATCGTTTCCATTACAGCATCCTGTTTTTAACATGGGAAGAATGTCCTTTCAAAGCATTTTGAAGTCTCCTTCCTCTGAGGTTGTGAAACTTTTTTTTTTTTGAGTCTCGGATAAGGCAGTGTTTTCTCATTTGAATGCTAGAGGGCACTATGGGTACACAAGTGAAACTGCCAAAAATTGGAAGTAATGTGCTCTCATTTCAAACTTCCTGCTCATACAAATATTTGCAGTTCTTGCAGAAGATAGTGTCCATCGCTACCAGGGCAACAGAAATTCTATTTTTGTGAATGGACACTGGTTACACCTGCTTGTATTTAAACACTGATGATCAAATGTGGCCCTACACATTTAAATCTGGATAAGATTGAGAAGCATTCCTGTCTTGCAGGATACCTACTTTTCCCTCCCCCCCTCCCCCCATTCCTACTCCCCACCCTCTTCCTTTTTATAAATGAATTTATTGTATTTTTCTGAAGAGACCATGATGAAAACTGCAGTAAGATAATAGGTTAGGCAATTGCCTCCAGTTAGTCAAGGCTTTTTGTATACTAATTATTTAATCTGCTGTAAGCCAGCCCTGGAATTAGGTACATATGCAGTGAGTGCAGAACTAAGTCACATCCCAATCAGAAGTACGATCTGTCTGTATGTGCAGTTTTGTGGTAGCCATGTTGGTCTCAGGATATTAGCGAATCAAAGTGGATGAGGTAATATCGTTCATTGGACCAACTTCTGTTGGTGAGAGAGACAAACTTTTGAGTTTACACAGAGCTCTTCATCAGCTCTGGGGAATGTGCTCAGAACCACAGCTAAATATAAGGTGGAACAGATTGTTCAGTGTAAGTAGTTAATGCACATTTCAAGGGATCATTCCAGGTGAAGTGGCCAGTTAACATCTCTCCAGTCATAGGGGGGAAAGGAGAAAAAGGCTGGGGGGAAGGCTGGGAAGGGAGATTATAGATTGTAATAAACCATAAATCCAACGTCTTTATTCAGTCCATGATTTTTAGTGGCTAGCAAAGTTATGAATTTAGGCTCCCTGTCTCATCTTTTGAAGGTGTGTGCAGGTTTCTTTTGAGGATGAGGACTGAGAGGTCACATATACAGTGATTGCTTTGTGAAAAGTATTTATATAAACCACACGGAAGAAACAACAAGCCAGGCTACTGATATAGGTATAAGGGAAATCTCCATCAACATGATCTCAGTTTTGTGGCAGACTGATATTTCTAATGCTTTGGTTTATTCTCTAGCTCCACCTGGTTTCAGGAACCCTACATGCTGGGACTGGTACAAATCAATTTACAGGAACCAATTTTTTGAGTAGATGCAGCCTTGAATTCCACTTAGGGGTGTGCATGCCCAGTGCACCAGAGCTGGAGAATTTTGCTTAGCAGCACTTGTAAGAGGTGGTGCTCACGCATCATGCTCATATACCCTTCTCTGGATATATGAGGTGGTGCCACCTTGACCTCCCCTTAGTTCCTTACCTACTCATGTCTGGAGTTGGAGCTCTCTATAGTTCCTAACCTCACAACCTCTATTCCTTAGTGACTTTTTTTGACCTGTATATAGTTCATTAGTACCATTAGTATAGTATTAGTTAAATTTAGCTTAAGTATTTCCCTGGTAATGCCCCCACCAGGGATTAAATATTGTCCATCATGTAGAGGAGTGATCTCCAATAACAATCCCCACATCAAGAGCAGTGTTCGATTTGCAAATCGTTCATGAAATGGATTCAGGTGGTGAGGAATCTTCATCTAAAGTAGCACCTTCTTGAACAGACCATGCTATATGCTTTGGCACCTGCATAGGACTGGAGGTCACCCTCGGGTTCTGGGAGTGCTGCTGTTTTGTGCTCTGGATCCAACACCTCTCTGAAGAGATGGAGTTCATTCCCTGTTGCGTGTGCCAAGGAAAAGGTTTCATAAGACCAACTGAGGCCGCCCAGGTTGTGTGGGGACTTGTCTGTCTCCTCCAGAAGGAGTGCAGAATGGAACAATGTGAATGCTGACACACAGGCTGGAGCAGGTCCTGTTAACCACTGCCCCAGTACTGGGGAGAATGGGAGGGGGGCAAAGACCCCATTTTGTCGATTCTGGTTTCAGCCCTGGGGTGTCCCTTAAGTCCAGTACCAATGAGGGCGATGCTAACACTGGCTGTTTCTGTGCCAGCGGTGTATCAGGAGGCAATGGACCTCTGCTTTTCTGTCCTGACCCCTCCCTGGGTCCAGGACTTTTCCAGTGCAGTGTCGTTTGTAGTGCCATTGTCTGGATGGACTGCTGAGCCATCGGCACCGCACACCAATGTTTCCCTTCCAGTCAGTGAAAGTGGCACCGATGCCAGGCCCAAGGGACCACCTTAGCACTGGGAACTTCCTCAGCTCGCTGCTGTTTGCGCTGCTGCTGTTACTGTGACAGCACTCACCACTCTCCATTTTGACATCAACAGTCACGTCAGTACCACTGCTGATTTCGGAGTCAACTGCTTCTGGCACCAGAAACAATGGACGTGTACTTTGTGCCGGCAGTACCGGTTCCACCATCAGACCAGTTGCTCATAGCCCCAGGGCTGGCTCCACCCTTTATCCTCTGAAGCATGGGACTCCTTGTGTCCAGGTTTGGATCTTCCTCCTCCTGCTCTCCCATCACCTGACCCATTTTGAGGACTATTCATGGAGCTCTGTGAGTACCAGCATTGGCAGTCATCTAGCATTCTAACGGGTCCCTGGCCCAGTGCCTAATGGCCACTAATGCCCTATCCATTCTAGTGATCTCCATGGCATCCAGGGAATGCTCCTTGGTCGTGGAAGTGCCACTCCTCATCTTGCTCTAAAGCGAGATCTTCGAGCAGATCTGTGGCAGTGTCTGTCAATTTGCTGCCGGCCCAGGCACTGGTGAACCTTCCCTCGTAGAATCTTCAGAGTCTTCCTGTCCAGATCTGTCAGTCCTGGACCAGGATCCAGCTCTGGCACAGTTAACCACTTTGTCTTCATCCCTAGACAATTCTGCAATGCCTGGCTCTTCCTCTCCTTCAGTACAGGAGGATTTCAAGGCATATGAAGACCATGTGCAGCATGTGACCGCTTCCCTGAGTATTCAAGTGGAGTTCCTGCAGGAGAATACCCATACATTATTGGATATCCTGCAGCCATCTGTCCCAGGAGAATCATCCTTCCTATTAACAATATGCGCCTAGAGCCTGCTAAGGTTCTCTGGAGCACGCTGGCTTCAGTACCATCTACTGGGAAGCAGTTGGAGAAACACTACTTCATTCTGGTGCACCCAACCCCAGATTCCTTGGTTGTAACAATGGTGAACAATAGAGCCCAGCAATGAAAATTTAAATCCACTCCTAAGTATAAA